GCTGAACTAAAGCCTGAGACAATAAGGACCAGATCCTATTCTGCCTATCAGGAATCTAAGTGGACTAAGGGGTCAAAGTGCAATTCTGTTCCACCCTGCTTGAGTGCTGAAAATCCATTAATTTATCTACTTTTGTAACACACCCTTAAAGTAGGTGTGACCCTTAAAAGTGAGTCACAAAAAGCAGCAAAGAGAAGGCGCATCCACCAGTCTTCTGTATTAGCAGCCTTCTGGGACTCATGCAGGGTGAAGTTAAATTAGTTAGACCAGTGCTTCCCAAACTTTTCCTCAGCATGACCCCATTTATGGCCCCCTTTTCTCAGCATGGCCCCATTTCCTCAGTATGGCCCCTCACTCCCAACCCACAGCCCCCCACACTTGCTACCCATCCGCTGATGTTGTGACCCCATTTGGGGTCGCCACCCACAGTTTGGGAACTGCTGTGTTAGACACTTGCATCTATTTACATGCATAATAGCTGCAACAGAATCTAGCCCTAACTGTCTTCTCTTCTATTCTCCATGACAACTAGAACATTACTTACGTACAAGCCATCTTATCTCTAAAAATGCCCCCCAAAGTAAACACTTCAGTCAGGGAAGTTGTACAAAGGCATCTCAGGGGCTCAGTGACATCATCAGTACGCAGCACCATAGCACCCAGGGTATGATACCAGAGGTGTACAATGGGCCCTTCTGGTGTCACATTTGCTCTGCAGTAAGCTTTCACTGGGTCCTTCCTCACCTACATCTGGGTTCCTACTGTGTCTATCTAATTATGTGACATTCGTCTTTGCTTATATTTATAAATTGACTACTACTGGTTTGTCACCAAACACGGTGAAATGGCCATCATACATTGTATTGAGACATTTTCCAATCAAGCCTGTTCTCTATTATTATTTGAGGCTGAAGCAACTATCTTCTGTCTCCTGACTGCGTGCATTGATTAGAGTGTTCGACGTAGTTATCACTGCAAGCAACAATCAGCCCAGTCCCCCAAGCCCTACTTTAGGGAGTGGAAATTATGCTGATGCTACTGGGAGTTTTGCACAAGGAATGAGAACAAGATGGGCCCAGCAGCCTCACCACAGCATGTGGTACCTTGTCAACGTGATTCACAATTTCCTTCATGCGATTCTGGACTGTCCGCAAGTCTCTGTATTTCTTATACTAAGGAAAGAAACAAATTTCCAGTGAAGTTGCTACAGTTTCTTTATAGCACTAGAGAATTAAACGGTCTCAGCCCATTCATTCCCTTTACCTCCTCATTGTCCACTACCAAAACCAGCTCCACATACCAGGGCCCTTTCTGTAATGGATCAGATTTCTGAAAGACAAAAGTAAATGCCATATGGAACTTGAACTCCATCTCTGCTAGCTCTAAACAGAGGCTGCATGACAGAAGCCTTCCTGCAGGGTTCCTAAGCATGAACGCTCACTGCTTACAACCTGTTATATTCTAGAACAGAGTCTAGTTTTTTCTGCATTAGTTATTCTAACTGCTGGGCTTGCTGCTGCTGGTTTGCTGAGCCTTCTTTGCAGCTTTTCCCTCCCCAATCATCCGTGATCAACTCTGTCCAGATAGGGGGCTCTGGTCCCCATTGCCACAATATCTAAACACTGCATACTGCTGAACATGTTTCTCCTCAGAGGGTGCATCTACATGTGCATTAATGCACTTTAGTTAATGTGCATTAAATCTAGTACCTCCGGGCATTTATACACACACCTTTTTGTCCCACAATGCACCGGAGATCCACTGCTTCAGAGTAGACTTGATTAATCGAGTCTGCTCTACATGCAAGCTGACGCGAACTGCATTGCACACAGTTGTATAAGCGGCGAAATGTGTGTCAGAGTTCAGAAAAAGGTGGTGGTGCACTTTTGAACTAAAACACCTTTTATTTGTTTTAGTTCAAAAGTGTGCCACCACCATTTTCTCAGTGCTGATGCACATTTCACTGCTTATACAACTGCAGACATGAGCTTGTCTTAATGAGTATTAACTAAAGAGTATGGGGCGCTTATACACAAGCAGTGAGGCTGCTCCGACGTGCTGGAATTCCAGCATGTTACAGCAGATTCAATAAATTGAGTCTGCTGGAGTGGGACAATTGCACAATTGCTCCAGCTTTCCCCTGTGTCTCATGTATCAGTGTCCCTGCACTTAAAAATGGCAACAGCGGCACTAGAACTAAAGCTCATTCAGGCAACCCCGACACCATTTTTAAGCACCGGGACGCTGATATAGGAAACACAGTGGCACTTTAATTAGCTCTGAGTGGCTTTCAGAGCTACTCTAATTAAATCTCCACTCCCCCCTGCACTCCCACCCCTGGAGCACATGTAAAAGTGCCCGCAGTTTTTAAGTAGCTTATTTTAATGTACATTATCTAAACAGCACAGGGAGCCAACTCCAATGAGCTGCAAATCCAGAGCATTGGAGCAGACTTGATTAATCAATTAATTGAGTCTGCTGGAGCGCGGAAATTAATGCACTCCAGCAGACGTTAGCATCATGTGTATCAGAGTCCCCATGCTGAAAAATGGCGGTGGGGTGCTTTGAACTGAAGCTCATTCAATAAGCTTTAGTTCAAAGCACCCCACCACCATTTTTCAGCATGTGGGACACTGATACTTGTGATGCTTGGGCGCTTTTAATTAGCATTTCATTTTAATTAGAGCACCGCCCCCCCACACCTCCTAAAGCATGTGTAAAAATGCCCAGTTTTTTTAGTGACACTTTAATGTGCATGAAAATAGACTAATGCACATTACAGCACATGTGTAGATGTGCCCAGAGTTGCCTGCTAAGTAGAGAAAGGCAATTATTCTCATTATATAGAAGGGAGACACAGACAGACCTAGTGATTTGCCCAAGATCAAACAAGGAGTCTGCAGTGGAGCAGGGAATCAATGCCAGGTCTTCCAAAATCTGGGTTGCTGCCCTAACACTGTAGTGATAGCTACAGCAATGGGTTACAGTCAGCAGCAGTACAATTTGACAAGCAGTGAGATATGTAAAGCATGGGAGGTACTTTTGCTTTTTTGCAAACTACTCACTCTGTCTCTTCATACCCTTCCTCTCAATGCCCCCTCCAAACAAACAGTATGATCCAGAGCCTATAGAGGTCAACAAACAGACTGCCATTGTCTTTAGTAGGCACTGGGTCAGGCTCTGTGTTTTACCAATTCAACCCCAACACAGTGGGATACGCTGGCTTCCTACCCAATGATGGAGTTTCATGGGTGCGGCAATTTTTGGCTCATGATCATATTCCAAAGTGATATTGGAGTCTCCACAGGTTGCACGCTTCATTCTCAGGTGTTTTGCCTTGTACACAGCATGCTCCATCTTCTCATTCTCTCCCAGTGGCTCAATTAAATAGATGGCTTGATTAGTCCCAAAAAATCCACTGCAAAGAGATGTAGGGGTATATGACTTGGTGTCAGGGGGCACATCTACACGTTTATTAATGTGCAGTACCTACTGTGCATTAAATATAGTACTTGTACTATATAAAGTACTAAAGTACTAAATAAATGTGCAGTAGGCTGCCATACTGCGCATTAGTGCAATCATACACCTTTTGTGTGATACTTAATACGCAGTAGACTAATACAACCACACATTAACATATTAGCAGAGTTTTTGTTGTGCGCATTAATATGCAGTAGAGTTAGTCTACTGCACATTAAGCATCTTGTGTAGACACGCCCAGGGACATGTAGTTCAATGAAAGGTTTGACAATCATCTAAACCAGGGGTGGGCAAAATATGACCCATGGGCTGGATCTGGCCTGCTAGACCAGGGCCCCAACAAAAAACAATTACCAGCCTGTGGCTGCCCCTCTGAAAGCTGCCAAGAGGCTTTCAGGGGTCATGCACTATTGGACTGAGCGGGCTCTGTGCCTCCACCTCTATGGAGCTCCAGGCACTCCATCTGGGAGCCTCATGTGGAGGCAATGAGTACAATGGCTTGCAACTGAACACCTTGCAAGTAGAGAGGGGAGCTCCTGCCTGCAGGAAGGGGGGAGGGGTTGTGAGTGGTGTTGGGGGTGGGCCCGCCCACCACAGCGCACAGCCCCTGCTGCTGGTGGCAGCAGCAGCAACAGGCAGTGGGCCCTCTGGGCGCTCCTGGCACGCTGCAGGCAGAGCCCCCCAGCAGCACACAGCTCCAGCTGACTCCCAGGAGCTGCACGTGGCGGCACGGAACTAGCCTGGCCCACCCCACTGGTGCGTGCCTTTGAGCCAGACTAGGCTGGCTCTGTGCCACCATGTGCAATTCCCAGCTGGTGGGTGTTGTGCACCACTGGGCCAGGCCAGGCCAGTTTCGTGCTTCCACGTGAGGCTTCCAGCCCTCTGGCAGGGATCCGCACATAGAGGCATGGAGCCCGCCTGGCCCAATGGCGTATGACTCCCCACAGCTCCCAGTCCACATGCCACTGGGCCACGCAGGATCCATACCTCCACATAAAACTCCCCACTGGAGTGCTGGAAGCTCCACATGGAGGCACGGAGCTGGCCCAGCCCAATGGTACACAGTTCCCACCTGTAGTGTTGGGAGCCCCACGTGCTGGCACGGAGCCTGATTTGGTTTGAAGGTGTGTGCCAGCAGGCAAGACTGGCTCTGTGCCGCCATGTGAAGCAACACACCCACCCCCACACCCCACACTCATCCACACACACTTCCACACCCATACCCCCCCATCACACACACACACCCCACCCCCACACTCCCCCCACACAATATACAAGAGTAAGACTTTATTTTGAGCTATTATGCAATCACCTCTTTATATATTATGCAACCACAAGTATATCAGGAAAAAAAAAATTAAATAAAATTAAAATATGTTATAGCAGATGCTTGATTTTTAGTATATGATTTGTTTGTTTTGTTCTGGTTCCAAGATGGCAACTTCTGTGGGGGCGGAGTACTTCTGTGGGGGCGGGGTGTGACTTCCAGTGGTAAAGGTCAGGAGTTAGTGGGTGGGACTTCCGGTCTCAAGATGGTGATCGGGGGTAAGGCACCTGTCAAGGGGTGGAGCTACCCTTGTGGCGCTTGACAGCTCACCAAAAATCATTCAGCAGCCCTCCAGCTGAAATAATTGCCCACCCCTGATCTACACAGAGATATTTCATCATCTGCCTCCCCACTTTGAGTGGCATGTTAACACTTCTACAGGAGCTGTATAGCTACAGTATGGCATAGGGATGCTGAACTTTAAGAAGAACAGTGTTATTGTTCACTGGTCCTCTCTTAAGGTGGATACTGACATTATCTTTTCTTGTCTTTGTGCTGCCATAACATTTTTTTTAATGTTATGGCAGCAATAAAAAAACAGCAGCCAGTGGAGTGGGGTTTTTTTTTTCTATTCCTGTGGGTAGGGGAAGGGCACTTTACTATTCAAGCATGACAAAATAGAAATGAATGAAAATTAAATCATCAGTTCCAAGCTACTATGAATGTCGTGGTATAGAAAACTTCAATGTGATGCCTATGGCCCTGACACTAGGAATGATCCCAAACAAGGAGAGGCCTGTTTCTCAGGTACAGTTCTGATGAGATCCGAACACCACTGATCCCAGGGGAGCAGTTGATACTAGAATATTTCCCAGTGGGGGGCAAAGCTTTCACAAGAACAGCTCATTCAAGAGCAGACACATCAAATATGAGTCCAATGCTGGGCCAAGAACTCAATCCTATACCCTAGTCTGACCCTATTCCAGCTCTAGACCCAAAGGTCATTTCCTCAGGCCAAAAGGACCTTCTCTGCCCTATAAGAATGATCTGCAGATGAGCTATGTACTGGTTTGCTCCAGATTCACAAGACTTTTGATCAAAGAACCTGGTCTAATACCATTAACAATAATAATAATTAAATAATTGTGCTAATAGCTAGGAGCCTGAGAAAAGGGTATGCATGGGAATTGGTATTATAATGTCCTTAATGTAAGGGCAATACATAGTTATCTAACTAGCAAAAAAAATTGCACACCAAAAAGTATCCAAGCCCCACGATCTTGGAGGCTGATGCTGCAGTGAATGGAGACTAGAAAGAGTTGGGTAATCCCTTGACCACTAACATGATTTATTCCTAATGATGCTAAAACACTGGTAAAGAGAATAATACCTCAGAGTGTGAGCTAATCTATGCAAAGTTCAGGAAGAGACTGTTCCCAGGCATTGCTCCATGGCCAATGTTGCACAGCTGGAAAGGAGAATTATGGGCCCTTTTTTCACCTTGTTCTGGGCCTCTGAAGAATCAGCAGTGGCCAGAGAGGCCAGAATAAGCTATTAGCATCCAATCAAGTATGGAAGAAAGATGTGATACTAAGTTATATGCAGCATGTGTCCAAGCCAGTGGTGGATATACTATGAAACCAACCATGGGGTGAGATGAGGCCCCCATGACAGGAGGCCCCACTGCTCACACTGCTGTTGCTGCTGGAGAGCCTCCTGCCTTTGGTTTCTGGTCCTCCTTCCCACCCAACGGGTTGTGAGGATCTTCAGCTGTTGGCTGGAAATTCTGGCCACCGCACCTCCCCCATGGCCGGTGTGCCATGCTAATTCCCCCGTGGATGTGCTGTGGCATGGGACGTGGGGTCCCACACCCTGCTTGGATCACAGGGCCCCACTAACTGTAAATCCACCACTGGTCCAAGCTAGGGTAGTGTAGTGCTCTACTTGGCTGTATGCCTAATGGCATCATCTGGTAGAGTGAGTTTTAAATTCCCTAATAACATGAAGCAACACAAACTCTTATCACAATGTATAAGGAGTGAACGAGCAGGGGCAAAAAATAGGGAAGCTAGCAAGCAGTTTGATGGGAACAAGAGGAGGAAGAAGAAGATGATGATCCGGTCACCAGACACCAGATCCAAATGGGGGAGTGCCTAAGATGCGAATCGGGCTTCCTCGTGGTGTCCCTACGGGAGCAGGCAAGATAGCTGCAGGAGGAGGTGACAAGGCTCCAAAGCATCCTCTGCCATGAGGACTTTATCGATTAAATGCTGGAGGAGACCTCAAGGACTGTGGAGGAAGGACTACCAGAGATGGTGCTGGAGAAGGAAGAGGACATGGACTCCCAGGAAGTTGGAAGCCTGTGACCTCTGGCAGCAAGCTGAAGTCTTCATCTCCACCTGGAGTACTTTGCCTGCAAAACAGATAGAAAGACCTAGCAACACAGTAGGAGGAGCACATTCCATTGGTGGAGGAGGCCACACCAGGCAGCCCCAAGGTTGGGAGGTTCAAGACCACTGCCACCAAGAGGAAGCAATGGATGGTGGTAGATGGAGACTCCCTTCTACAGATGATGGAGGTCTGTGGACAATCCATCTGCTGGCCTGACCTGTTGTCTTGGGAGGTCTGCTGGTTGCCCAGAGACCAGATCTGAGATGTCATGGAAGGATTACTGAGACTCATCTGGCCCTCTGACTGCTACCCCATGCTGCTCATCCATGTGGGCACCAATGATACTGTCAGGGATGGCACTGAACAGATCAAAAGTGACTACAGGGCTCTGGATGTAAGGGTGAAGTGGACAGGGTCTCAGGTGGTATTCTCCTCAATCCTTCCAGTCAAAGGGAAGGACCCAGATAGGAGCAGATGCATCCTGCAGATCAATGCTTGGCTATGCAGATGTTGTCACTAGCAGGACTCTGGCTTTTTCAAGCACAGGATGTTTGTTCCATGAAGAAGGATTGCTAGAAAGAAATTGGGATCCACCTGAAAAAGAGAGAGAACAGCATCTTCGCAGACAGGATCACTGTCTGTAAGGAAGGCTTTAAATTAGTTTTGCCAGGGGATGGAGACCAAAACCCTGAGGTAAGTGACCTAGAAGAAGCACATCATAGGCCCTGGTTCTCATGGGGGACTTCAGTCACCCTGACATCTGCTGGGAGGGTAATACAGCAGTACGCAGGCACTCCAGGAAGTTTTTGGAGAGTGTTGAGGATAACTTCCTGGTGCAAGTCTTGGAGAGGCCAACTAGGGGCCATGCTCTTCTTGACCTGCTTCTCACAAACATGGAAAAACTGGTGGAGATGTAGAAGTGATTGAGTTCAGGATCCTGAGGAAAGGAAGGAAGGAGAGCAGCAGAGGAGAACAGTAAGGATCCTGGACTTCAGAAAAGCAGAGTCTGACTCTCTCAGGGAACTGATGGGCAGGATCCCCTGGGACACCAATGTGAAGGTGAAAGGAGTCCAGGAGAGCTGGTTGTATTTTAAATAAACCTTACTGAGGGCGCAGGAATGAACCACCCCAACGCACAGAAAGTCTGCTAAGTGTGGCAGAAGACCAGCTTGGCTTAGCAGGAAACTCTTTGGTGAGCTAAAATGCAAAAAGGAAGATTACAAGAACTGGGAACTTGGACAAACAACTAAGGAGGAACATCAGAGCATTGCTCAGGCATGCAGGGATTGAATCAGGAAAGGCAAAGCATAACTGGAGTTACAGCTAGCAAGGGACATGAAGGATAACAAGAGAAGTGAGGATATCCAAGAGAGGTATGAAGAAGGGTAATGGCGTACTTGGCTGCATTACTAGGAGTGTTGCCAGCAGATTGAGGAAAGTGATTTTTCCCCTGTATTCGGCACTGGTGAGACCACATCTGGAGTATTGTGTCCAGTTTTGAGCCCCCCACTACAGAAAGGATGTGGACAAATTATAAAGAATGCAGCAGAGGGCAACAAAAATGGTAAGGGGGCTGAGGCACACAACTTAATGAGAAGAGGTTGAGGGAACTGGGCTTATTTAGTCTAGAGAAGAGGAGACTGACGGGGGATTTAATAACAGCCTTCCACTACCTGAAGGGTGGTTCCAAAGAAGATGGAGCTAAACTGTTCTCAGTGGTGGCAGATAACAGAACAAGGAACAAGGGTCTCAAGTTGCAGCCAGGGAAGTTTAAGTTAGATATTAGGATGAACTTTCTCATCAGGAGGTTTATAAAACATTGAAATAGGTTGCCCAGACAGGTTGTGGAATCTCCATGCTTGGAGGTTTTTAATACCTGGCCAGACAAAACATTGGCTGGAATTATCTAGTTGGGGATGGTCCTGCATTGAGCGGGGGGTTGGACTAGGAGACCTCTTGAACCAGAAGCCTAATTTTCTATGATTCTATGATTTTAGGATGATAGTATTGATCAAGTATTAAAAGCAGCTAACAGAGACACTGTTCTAAGAAAAAATATACTGCAGCTCTGCTTATTGCAATTATTACTTAATTTCTTGGGTGAGAAAGATCTCCATGGCCTTGTCCTGCTAAAGGGAATGGTGAGTTTGCTGCACCTTAGCGTTATTACCACTTTACCCTGGTCTCCAGAACATTCAGATGCCAGTTGCACAGTCACATGGGAAAGAAACAGCTACCTTCAGTAACAACTCAGCTCCTGTATGACTAATACAATGAGCAATATTCATGCCTCATTTAGTTTATTTGTAATTCCCCCCTAGGAAATATTTACTTTTCCCTACTCTTCCCCTCCTCAGTAATACCCATTCTTTTACTTGCTGTCTCTGAAATGACATTGAAAATATGGCAGGCATGTAAAGCCACTTTACATTTTATATGTATTTGCTCTGAATACCCTTTAGATAATCAGATGCTTTTCTAGCTCTTCAGCCCAGTTATAAACTCCAGGTTCTACTCCTTAATGATAAGGATCTCATTCATTACAATGTATGGAGAAAGGCAGAAAGATTACTGATGCTATTTAACAGGCAGTCAGGCTTCTCACATTAAGACAAAAGCATACAGCAAAAATTACAAAGCAATTTTCACAGATATGAGTTAAAGGGAACTGTCCTTCCCACAGCAGCAGCAAAATAGCTAGGCAGCTCTGCCAGTCAGAGAAGAATCATTAAAGATTCTACACGCAACATGACTGGCTGTGTTCCACTTCTGCAATATTGATATTAGCCATATGGAAAGGAAAATTTTCCTCAGGGCATCCTACTGAAGTCAACAGGTCAAATTTAGAGGCAGCATATGGTATCATGTATGTTAGGCCTGCCTAGACTCAGCTCCTTTAGACTCACTTACCCCAAGCATAGGGAGATAAAATAAGTGTACTTGGCCCACCAAGAAACAGCAGGAGGGTAAAAGATAGTTTACATTTAATAATAGGATGATTCCTCATCTCTTTTTGTTATGTTCTTCTCTTTTGGAAAAGTCACAGTCAAATGACAGCTGATGTGTAAGGAGGCTGGATATGGAAATGAGCTGAAGCTAAAGAGTGACAGACAGGCCTGTCCCTAGGGGGGCAAATTGGGGTGACTGTGCCAGGCCCCACAGAGCCAGGCTGACTTCACATCCAGCTGCTCGCTACACCCCACTTCCCCACCACGTCTGTGCCCCGCACAGGCTGATTTGCCCCAGGCCGCTCACCCTTCTATGGTCATCTCTGGTGGCTGAGAAAGCAAGGGGCTAGAAGAAAGTGTAAATTACATCAGTTTGTGCTCCAGACTTGTTTGCTTCATTCTCTTTTCTTGTATAATCATGGGGGGGGTTTTCCACCATGAGAAAAAAATATAACTCCCAGGAAATGATTGGCAGTGGGAACACTGAGACACGAACCAAAGCAGATTCTCTGTGGGAGCAAACCATCTGGGAAGAGTTTGAATGTCAGCTTTTCTCAGTGAGCCAGAGGGGAGAGAATGTACTGTCTAGGTGTAATCAGGAGCATTCTTCCTTTGAGTTTCCACAAGCGATCCCAGGATTTGCAGGCTTTGCTTGCTGATCAACGCTCCATGCAGGATGCTGTTTTCTAGAAAAACCCAACTTTTCATTTCGCTGTAGGAACCAGGCTATAATCTCTTTACTCATCTGATTACACAAGTAATTCTGTGCACTACTCCTGGGATAAGATACAAGTCAGCATGACGAAACATATTGTAATCTGGTTATGAATGACGCGAGTGCACACCTCAGTTTGGTGCTGGGCTGTTTCTTTTTCAGGTCATCAAGCACCTGCCCCAAAAGCATACCATTTTCACTCCTGTATAAGATTTATTGCCCGATTTATTTCTGAGCTCGGCAGAGTCTTGGGTCCACGCCTGATCCTAGTGAAGCTAGTTTGGAGCTTCCTTCTGATTAAAGGGAAAAAGCACGGCCCACTATGATTTGTCTTTGGAGCTTGGGTGTGTGTCTGGTGACATGAAGCACTAACGCTGGTAAAACTTCCAGTTTTCAGGATATAAAATAAGCACAAAGACGGACCCCAACTGTAGTAGAGGAGAAGATAGGGCCAAAGATGTCCAATCTCTGTGACAGTACTGGCAGACACACGCAGAGGTGAATCCTATTCCTTTGGGGGTACTAGGATGAATGCAGCTGTCATCTTCCTCTGAGCCCTGTGGGCTTGGGAAAGAAAGGAATTCAGAAGGAACTCTTTTTCTCTCTATACTGTAGCTGTACTGGAGGATAGGAGGGCATTGGCACTGTGTCTATATTTTAAAAGAGCTTGTGGGGCAAGCTAAGGAAATACGGGTCAGTAAACCTTACATTTTTTCCTAGCAAAATGGTAGAACCATAATTAATGCCTAATATGAAAATGCCTAAATGATTATGATAAGATTTATTTACCATACTTCCTGCAAGTGAAAATTATATCTTACTAATCTCTTAGAAAGTTGACAATGCATCAGTAAACTTGTGGAAAAAGTGGTTGACATTTGTACTTCCAAAATGATTCTGACAATGTCCATCACAAAAGGCTAATAAAGAAACAAGTCATCATAGGGTGAGGGGCAAACTGGCCACGAAAGAAAAAACAAACAGGAGGACTAAATCAATTGTCCCAAGACTTTATTTTCAGAGAGTTCAAACTTTCCAGAGGTGTCTCATGTCCTTCTAAAACCTCAATTTTAGCTACTCAAGCTTCTGAAAACTAGGAAAAGAGAGGAGATAATGGAAACATAGCTGTGAGAAAACTAGAAAATGCAGAATTACATTATATACCAGCCCCATAATGCAATCTTAATTCTACCTGTCCCAGAGATGACAATAGCTACCAGGAGTGACTCAGTATGGAGGGAGCTGGGCAGAGGATACAACAGAGTGCAGAAGCTGACATGGAGTGTGTAGAATATGCTTTAAGGGACAGACAAAGTGACTTCATGTTAAAAGGGGGCTTGAGCTGCAAAGTTCAGATCTGAAGCCAGATGTCCCCGCACTCATGAATATCCAGAGCTGGGTTTCAGTCCAGACCTATTCTTACACAAACATTTCCAAGTAGCTCATGTTTCCATTAGAAAACAGCAGGTAAAACCAGTGGCTCAGGAATGCAGCCCAAACCCCAGCCAAGGCTGACTGCAAGTACACTTGTGGTTCTGGCAAACATTGCACACAACTAGTCTTAGCCACAACGTCCTAATCTAATTTCATCTTGCCTCTTCCTAGCCTCCCCTCCTGTACAACAAGATGCAAGAGTGCTGTTCCCTTCCTCCTCTGAATTGCTGTGCATTGAAAAATAGCTGCTATGTTTCATTTAAAGGAGACAATATTTCAGTGACTGGGAGAAGTGATACCTGAATACCTGCATATTTCAAAGTACCTTAGAATCCTTATTATAACAGCATGTAAGTGTCCCAGAACTGTCAATCCCAAGTAGTAAAACATTATGAGCAAGACCCCCAAAATCAAATTAACATAAAAACATGGTTCTCCATATTTGCCTTCTGGCTTTTGGTCACATTTGGAACATATTTCAAGCTGTTCTCTACAACCAGGAGGAAACTGATTTTTTTTTTTTTTTTTTTTTTAAAAGGAAAGCTAAGATGCTTCTGTATTCACATGACCCCTATATTCACATGGCCTTATGAAAAAAATGTTAAAAGAGTTGCCACAAAATCATGAGAGATGGCATGCTGGTTTGAAGGCACATCAATATATTACAAAGAGGTGAAACATCAGTATATTCAATATATTGTGACATCATCATATTGTATAATTAACATATATACCCTTTTACCAAAACAGAATCAGATTGATTTTGTCACACTAATTGGCCTGGAATGGGTCTAAAATGTTACCAGATCAGAACAGTAGGATTTTACACCCACCTCTCCCTACTATAAATGACATCCAAATGTGGGATGACAGAATCTGCCCCCCCAGTGTTACTGTAGGCTTTGCCTGTGTGTGTTCTGATGTTCCCTCCTCTCTGTGCATCTTGTGTAAGCGAAAAAATACATACCGTAGTCCTTTGCAGGCACTGATGCTGGCCACTGAGTCACTGTAACCCTGAACATGCCCATGATAAAAGCAGTGATCCTGCACCAGAGGAAACAGAAGTTAAAAGTCAATCTGCAATATACTGGGTACATCTGCACATGCGTATTTACTGCACAGTAACTAAAATTACTGCACAACACGGGCATCCGTCAACATGCACACGCCTGTACTGCACAGTAAATATGGTGACTTACACCGACTTGAGCATAAAGTTGATATCTGCATCATGCAGGTATCAAATGAATGCCCGATTAATTACTGTGCAGTAATGCATATGTAGATGCCTTACTGCACAGCAACACTGTGTGTGTGGACTGACCTGGGACTAAAGTTAGTCCCAAGTCAGTCCACACACAGCGTTAATGCACTTTAACACCTGCATGTGTAGATGCTGGCCTAGTCCCACTTACTGCACAGTAGCTTACTGCACAGTCAATTTAAGCTGACATGAATGCACATTTATACATGCCCACTGTGGATAATTGGGAGGAAAAAATTCACTAAAAGCAAAATTCTGTTTCACCTTATGGAATAGGACTGGCTCAGCTTAAGACAAGCTAAAGCACAGGAGTGATTCTATTGTCCCCTTTGGGTGTGTAAATTCAATCATTATAACTATAGGATTGCCCTCTGGAGACATGCAGATGTCTCCCTATTCTTATAATGAGGGCAAGGGAGAAAGGTAGGGAACAAAAAACATTAATGGATAGCAAACTCCCCCCACAGTGAGCCAGGCTGAGTATAAAAGGCCATCTAGGGGCAGCATGGATAGTGTGCAGAATAAGGAAGGTTGAGGGGGCAGAGCTTGCCTGGAGACAGAAGAGATATTCACCAGAAGAAGCTACCGGACAAGTAAAGGCCATCTGAGAAGAGCAGTGGTAAACCCCCAGAACTGGGTGAGCTGAGGAGGGGAAAGCCATATAGGGGACAGCAGGGCTGACCTCTCACCTGGGATAAAAGAGAAGGCCTATCTGGGGATATGAGGATCCTACAGAAGAGTAGGAATGAGGGTAGAAGGTCAGGCAGGCACAGCAAGGGAGGCTCCAAAAGCAAGCTGGGCTAAAGACCATCCAGGGACACAGCAGCATCCTACAGATATCTTGCAAGGATATCGCTCAGAGCAGAATGGGCAGTTCAGGTGCTCTGAAAAGAAGCTAGGCTCAGATGGCACAGGGTAGGTGAAATCAAGGTTTCTTTCTAACCGTTGCTGCACAGGGAAGTTAGGATCAAGGTTTTGCTGGGAGCTAGATAAGTTTTGTGAGGTGAAATGTTGTAGAGGCAGGAGTCCCTGCTTACAACTCCATGCTGGGCACCTGCAAAGCTGCTGACAGAGAAAAAAGAACTCATTTAACTGTGCTCCCTGTGACCACACTGTGCATCCTGCATAGCTTCCCACAAAGGGAGACAGAATGGCCCAGAATGGAAATCACTGTAGTGCCCTCCCCACAAAACTCAGCTGTCTTTGAGGGGTAGCCTGAGCCTATGCTGGCCTGTCTCCCAATTGGTCACAGGGAACCAATTCACGCTCTGACCATGAAGCAAAACCTACTGCTGAGAAGTCACAGTGGGTGTCAAGAAAGTGGGGACTGTTCCTGGGTCTTACAGTGTGACCATGGGATCTCTGAGCCTCAGTCTCCATAGATGAAAGATGAGATGATAACTAGTCTGGCTTTCCTTCCTGGGATGGTGGAAGGCTTTGTTCTCTGGTGTTTTGTGGTACCCAGAAGGAAGATGCCAGAGAAAGGCAAAGCAGTGCTGTGCCCCAGATCAGCCAGGAGTCAAATGGGTTCAATACAGAAGTTGCTGAGGGAAGTTTTGTTAAGACAGTGCTGTGCAGGAGGTCACGCTGCATCATAAGGGTCCCTTCTGGTCTTATAGTCTATCGCAGGGACTGTCAACCAGGGGTACGTGTACCCCCAGGGGTACTTGGTAAGGCCTTAGGGGGTACACATGGGCAGATGGGGACAGAACACTACCACCCACCACCCCACACTGCCACCACCCAGGAGCAGGGCCGGGGGGGCCAGGGCAGCTGCACCCCTGTGCGGGCCACACAGGCACCGCCTGGCTGACCAGATGCAGGAAGAAACTCATACGTGCCCCCGCTCCACTTTCAGTCATGAGCCCCTCCCACCTGCCTCTGCGTTTGGCAACTGGGGGTACACTTATTTAAAAAGGTTGAAAACCCCTGGTCTGTTGCAAGGCTGCTCAACTTCTTGGCGGCAGGGAGCCATATGGCACCTGGGCAGCAGACTGCCCAGTCACAAGCAGCAAGGCCCACCTTGTGTGCAGTGTGGGCAGCCCATCCCCATGCCTGCCATGTAGGCAGCACAAGCAACCCAGCTCCCACTTACCACATGGACAGCCCAGCCCCTTTCCCAGCTGCACGCAGAGCATGGATAGCTTGGCTCTCCTCCCTTAAGCGTGAGCAACCTGGCTCCTTTCACGGCCACCTACACAATGCAGGCAGCCTAACCCTCTCCCACTGTGCAGGCAGTCTGCACATGGCTGGAGAAAGGATGATGGAGATGAAGGTGAGTGTCTTTTTTCTCAATCATGTCGTGAATAACTCCATTTACTTTGACAGCTGCTCTGTTCACAGATCCCTCACCTGTCTTCCAGAGCTATGGGAAAGGGGACACGGGACACAAGGACATGGATATGGGCATTCTCAGCTCCAGTCCTGACCCACATCTCAGTATCTCAGGCACCAATCATCCTAAAAAAAAGCCTTTTACTTTGCTTGTGGAAAATACTGGAAGACACACTGCAAGCTCTAGAGATCTGGCCTAAGACATCCTCAACTTCAGCATAACCTTCAGCTCTCCCATCATGCACAAGCCACATTGCATCAACTAGCATAGTGCTGGGATCCATACCTGGGTGTCCGGCTTCTCAGTGACTTCTGTACCATTTTCTAAATAATAGGTTTCAGTGTAGTGCTCCCCAAGCAGTCCCCTGTAAAAGAGGAATGGATGTTAGCAATGAAGGCTGACAGTGTAAATCTCTAGCTGAACAGTATACTCCAGAGAGAAAACCAGATGGTATGAGAAGACCCTGCAATCCAGCCAAATCCTGCTAATTTGGGAGCCCTGACACTGAAGCTCATTACACTATTTTTATAAGCAAGTTATCATGATTAGTACCACATCACTGCAGGAACTCCTACTGGAAAATCCCCACACCACAGGTTTGCCATAAGTTGGAATGTGACCTTTTCTTACAAAGAAGAAGCTATTATTGCCACAGAACAGGAACTGCTTTTTATGTTCTGTCTGATAGATAGTTGGTAAGCAAGTAACCTGAGTCAGTGTTTGGAGGGGATTCAGTGTCATACAGTCACCCCCATTTACTGCTAAAGGGGCTACAAGAAGACAAGTTCCCCTAAATGGAGCAGTAGGGAACTCAGCAACAGGTGGGCAGAGCTAACTTCTCCAAACAAAATGCTGGAGGAGAAACAATCAAAAACAGATTCATGAATCACAAATTATTCTTCCCCTGCTATCAGTCTGCAGATTTGTACATGACATGTATTTCCCTGCTTATGAGTTCTCTGCCATAAAGTTACAGTGGGAGGAGACTGAACTTCCCCCTTTCCATCAACAGTGGGAGTGGGCATCAGGATGTGAACAGGGATCAGGGATGAGTAGCTAAGAGCTGAGTTCCAAGAGAAGCAGTAATGCTGCTGTGGAAATGGTAATAAACTCTGAATCGGATATCAGACACTGATAAGCACAAAACACAAATACAGACAGACAAGGGGATTGGGTGTGAGGCTAAATTAGGTTGAGGTCAGGTTTGGGTTCTGAAATTTCATGAGGTATCTCTGAACCAGAATAATCTCCTTTTTGTTTTGGATCTGGACACAAGCCATTAGGAAAGCAGGTTTCAATTCAAGGATCAAAGGGTTCATCTAGAGGTCCAAGATAGTCTACTGTTCTAGCTCCTTAAACTCCGTAAAGTTTCACCTCTGAACTAAACAATGTGGCTTAGAAAAGAAGCCAGACTTAAAACTAGGCTAAAAATGATTTAATTAGGAAACTCTCCAAGCCATACTCACACCACTATACACTTACTTATTCTTTTCCAGATAAAGAACATAATCCTTCCCTTCGGCTCGGATGCCATAGACAATATGGTCAGGATATGTACTCTGCAGGAAGTAAAACAAGACAATCCTGTGATCATTAGACCAATAAAATGTAACATGGATAGGGGCATATTCGATTCCACCTGCTAGGTATCTAAGTGGACTTAAGACACCTAAATGTAATTCTGTTCCACCATGTTCAAGTCCTGAAAATACATTAATGCATTTACTTTTGTAATATGCTTATCATTTTACCATTAAGAGTGAATCACAAAAAGCAGCAAGGAAGAAGAAACACCGTCCATCTTTTGCATGAACTATTTTTCAGGGACTAGAGAAGGGTGGAAAAGAATCACACTTTAGCGCCTCATGCACCTAATAGGTAGACAAGGTTTTCTATCATCCATGAGATGTAAACTTGCCTGAGATGCTCAGGGCATATCCACACCGCAGTCAGAGATGTAGGAACATTGCTTTAATCTAGCAAACCTGAGTAACAATAGTAGTGAAGATGCAATGGCAAGGAATGAAATGTCTGTAAGTACATCTTCACTATTATTAGTAGTTCCAGAAAGATTATTGCAAGCTGGATGCAATATTGACTGTGCTGCAATCACATTCCCTTCAGTAGCATAGGCATATGCTCCATGGCTACCTACAAAATTCACATTTACACTACTCCATTCACTATTCTGCTAGTCACAAGTGGGTCTTGTTGAAATATATTATAGACACACCATACTTCAAAGGTGTTGTGCACTGGCAACTCCTACTGATCTGAAAGGGTGTGTGTGTTCTCAGCACTTCTGGAAGCAGACCATTCATGCTTACTACACAGGTAACTGTCAAAGACAGGTGGAAATCAACAGCCAAGTATACCAGAAAATAAATAAATCTGCTGCTCAATACTGAAAATCTCCAGAACACCTTGAAATAAAGAAAAGGGAGCTGACAATTAAACTGCGGTTCAGTTAAGGCTCAGCTTTCATATTTGGCACAAGGCCAAAGCTGGCATACAAGGAAGCAACTTCTCATTTCTTATCACGGACATAAAAAGCTCCTTTTTTGGCATTTAATTCAAGAGAAACAAAACTGAAAAACCACAGAATTTTCCAGTAGCTTCTTTTAACTGCCTCACTTATGCAGATATGAAGACCTCTTTATCTTTGACTGATCCAATACACAGAATCATCCTTTGAAAATAAAATGTTCTTCTTGTCGGTTACCAAGCCTAGATTGTGCAGGAAGTAATTAATACTGAAGCCATTTGGTCTAAGGAAATAAATTTAGCTTTTAGAGTCATATTGAACCCTACATGCTCCTGTAATCATGAAAATATAAAACCTTTTTATTTAAACAGATTGTCACTTCTATGGAATCTTCCAAAGGCATGTGCATGGATGTCCATGAATAGGTAGTTATGGAGTGTGAGTGCTTGTGCTTGTGCGAGGTCTGTGTGTGTATGTGTAGGAGGTATCTTTCTGTGCCTATGTTGTGCACACATGCTGAGCAAAAAGAGGCAGACAATAGGCAATTTGGCCACGTGAATGAATATTGGGCCGTATGTGCTCCTCACGATGGAAAGACTGGAAAGCAGTACTCTCTAGCCATTTGAGAATGAAAGAAGTACTCTCTGGCCATCTAAGATTGCCCGCTAGCCAGTGCAAGGAGCATGGCAGGGCACTGAATATACTAGAGCTTGACAGGGTAAATAGCCCTCAGTTCGCTGGGGTTTGCTCTCATTGAGGGAAGTTGATCTCTTCAGTTGGAGTGATACTATTAATTACTATATAAAAGTATGAAATCTCACCAAAGAAAACACTGTGGAGCTGAAATTAGACTGCAATTGGAAAGTCTCTCAGGGCATCTATATAGATGCTACAGGGTAGAGGAGGGGGTGGGCATTTTAATTAGAGAGGCTCTGATTGCCACTCTAATTAAAGCTCCCACAGCGTCCCACGCTTCAAATTTGCAGCAGAGACGCTTTAATTAAAGCTGGTTCAATGAGCTTTAAAGTGCCCCTGCTGCCATGTTAAAGAGCAGGAACACTGAATACACGGGATGCAGCAGCTGCTGGTTAGCACGCTCCAGCAGACTCGCAGCAAATCTGGGAGGTCTAGTCAGAGCAGAGGTCTGTCATGTGAATAGGTGCCATTTATGCCACAGAGATCCAACTGGGACAGTGAGAGATTTTCCTTGCAAGTCAACTGTTCTAAATTTCACTGTTTTGTGTTTTTAATTTGAGGTCATTCTGGGAATAAAAAATCCATTTCCAAATAAAAAAACTGCCTCTTTGCCTTCTGAGTCTCCCGGTGGCCACCTGAGTGGCCTCTGACTGCAGCCCTTAGAACTCCAAAGGTCTTCAGAAAGTGTTTCTCTTACATACTGTCACCTGAACAAACACTCTGGCTAAGCAGGAGATGCAAGGTACTGTCTACAGAACTCGATGATGAATTCTGCAGAGATGAACAGCATCCCCATGCAAGATTATGGTCTCTCTTTAGTGTCTGCCCACAAAATGAATCTTTGTTATTGTTGGCAACTTTTCCAAGCCAGTAAACAATCCTTGAGAAATGCAGATCTGCAGAAAAGCCACAGAAGTCACTTGAGGCAGACCAGGGTAGCAAGTCAGACAGAAAAAGAAGAGTAATTGTTTGGTGGAGGAATTGTGAAATATGCAGAGCAGCTGAAAAGACCGGATAAAGCTTCCCTAAGCACCTCTTGGGGTGGGGTGACTCAGTTTGACTCAGTCAAACTCCCACTGACTATGGCAGTGATTAGAGTTGAGACATAATCCCAGGACTTGTCCTGAAGTTAGAAAAAAGAAATTCTGCCCAGAGAGCAAACTGAAAAAGGAGAGGTTCATCTCCCGGGGCTGGAATCTCCTGTTTCCCCTATGCAAATTAGCAGGGACCCTACAGATGACCCCAGAAGTCACTAGTTACCCAACATCAGGGTGAGCACAGGGAAAACCAGACCTAAACAGCTACAAAGAGATTCAAAGATTCGGGGAAGCACGGTGGGCTCCACTCTGCCCTAGTAGGGGTGCATATTGGATGCAGTGACTCATTTCTCTACCTGCTGTGAAAGGGTATGTAGAGCTCCATAGAACACAAGGGCTACTCCGCCTAGAGCCAGTACACCGGGAGCCAAAGTGAGGGAGTTTATGCCAACCAGCTAACTGCTCTTGCTCCTCTACTGACACCCCGTTGTTACTCACTACCATGCCACTGTTTGCTCTAAGGGATTTCTCTGATATTGCTCTACCCTGTACCCTATTCTAAACCTGCTCCTTATAACCAATAAAGTTCTCCTCTGTACCTAGCATGGGAGCCTTATTGCGAGAGGGTATAAATTATGCCTTGGGGTCCCCTTGGTTCAGCTGACTAAGGGAAACCACTATTTGTGCTTCAGACTGAGGGAAGCACCCCAAGTTCTTGCAGTGGGTCAAGTACCCTCAAAGCCGACTAGGCCTGTGTTTCCCAAGGGGTACAGGGCCAGGATCAGTCCAGACCCTGGGTGGTGGCGGCGTTACCCCCAGGCTTGCGGGTGTGCTCCAGGAAGGGGGTCAGCCAGATGTGAGGTCCCCCCGGGAGGCACTTGGAGCCTGGAAGGTGGTCAGGTGCAGTGAGGTGGGTGGCTCAATGCAGGAGCACCCCCTACTGGCCCGCCACACGCTAAACTCATGTATGTAGGCCATACCTATGCCACCCCAATCCATCATCTCTCCTGCTGCATATGCATGTTACATAGATGTAACAAAAGGATGCATTTTTAGATGTGCTCCCTCTTCGTTGGGATGAATATGAAAACAAAGAAGGAAAGAAAGCAAATTGTTCAATACAAATGGCACAGATGGTACCTCTAAATAGCCTTCTGAATGTTTACTTCATGATGAGTTTAGGTTTCTGGAGCAAAGAGAACAGATTCCTTCAGGGAGTATTTTTGAAACTATTTAATCAGAAAGGGTCTGAATCACATATGAACATGTTGTACCAAGAGTTTACTAGGAAATTTAGGTTTAAAAAATTACATGAAATCTAGCCCTTCTTAAGTGTTTTGTGTTTTTAAATGTCTTAAGATATTAAAAATCTTTAAAATTCATTGAAGAGGCTGCCACTAAGATTAACATGACAAATCTAGTATTGATAGTTGCATACATTAAAAAACCATGAGTTAAACCTGCAAAATCATCAGATTGGCTTAAAAATCAAGACACTTTAAAATAGTAGAATGTAGGTTCTTTTCTTTGGGTGCCTTTAGCATTCATGCTTTCCCCTCCAATCACAAGAACTACAAACTGACTTTTCTTAAATGAAAAGTGAAATTCCGACTCATGGATGGCTGATGCCTGGAAGTGTGCATTTAAGGGGGAAAAAACCCACATGTGAGACCTGTGCTAAATCATGAAAGATGGTAACATATTGCTGATCAGTTCTGAAAAAGTATGCAACATCCTCATTACCCCGTAAACAAATTATTCTGACACTGGTAATTATAATCCACTAGCAATTCTAATCTTGTTCCTAAGTATTTCAAGAAAGCTGCTCTGAATTGGTGTTTCAAGAGTTACATCGTTTGTGGTACAGACAATGCAAAAAGTTCACACGAGTTCTTGTGTCAGTCATCTAGCAAAACTCCTGCCATAAAAAGTCTCTGAGCTCAGCTTTGTGCCAACCAGGTTGCCTGCCAGCAGCTACTGAAAGAGAGAGGGCGAGAGAAAGAGATCTCCTCTCCTGAACTGACGTGCCTTCTCTGGGATTTATCTGCTGATTTAAACAGCTTTTGGAGATCTATGTGGAAGAATGGATGTGTCTGAAGTGTAGGAATGGGAGTCAATTGACCTAGTTCCGTTCCTGGTTTTACCACACCCTTCCTGTTGCAAAGTGGAAGTCATAGCACACTACCCTATTTACTCATAGCCTTCAAGCCTAAAAGGAAACACTGCAATTATCTAATAGTGTACAACTCATCTGCCCTGGCAAGCCAGATAAGCTTCACAAAGCTGGTGCACAAGCTGAATCTGGAACACAAAGCTATGTCATCTGGCCTGCAGGGCTGGAATTGGGTAGCAGCAGCAATATCTGGTGCAGCTCCCAAAGCGGCAGAAGCTGTCGCCACTCCACCTATTACCAAATTTCCAGCCCTGAAGGCAGCCCTGCAGGCCAGATGATACAGCTTCTCCAGATCCAGGCTGCTGTGCTCCTAGAATTTTTAGATAAAGTGTAGAACAGAGAGCTGCAATCATTAATGCTATTATATTGTCATGCCACTATATTTCTGGACCTGTGGAGAGCCCTGTGGGTTAGATGATATGGCTCCATAGGCTAGATCCAAGAATAGTCATTCAGTTGCTGGCCACTCTGCAAGTCTGAGAAAGCTCATGATTTGTTAGGGCTAATCTGGGGTCTGGTACCAGGCTCCAACTGGATTGCCTCCTGAATCTGGGTTTAGAGTTCACTGAATTAGAGACACTGATACTTACAAGTTGTGCAGAAAGGTCTCTCTTCCCCAAAGTTGTTGGCAGTTTACGAGGTATTATCCTTTCATATGTGTCCACATGGGCAAGCTTATCTTGGGGGTTTGCAAAGGCTCCTGTAAAAATATGCAAAGTCTCAGACCTTTCTGCAGAACACAACAGAAAGGCAAACACAGTACAGCTCATGCTTAATACCCCTAACATAGTTTAATCTTCCCAATGGGGTAGGGGCAACACAAGACTCATTTTGTAGCTCCATGCCCCTCTGTATTGCAGTCACTAATCATTGCTAGCTGGTGTTTTGTTGATTTCTAACAATAAACAGGAAAAAATGTAACATTTGCTGTGCCCTCTAGGTTCCAAAGGACAATGCTGAAACCAGAGCTGCAATGGCAGTTCCTTTGCCCTATACTGTGAGCAGCTGGGCCAAGTCTTGTGAAACAACAGACATCTTTAAAACAGAGAAGAAAAGTAGCCAAATTTTCTTCTTAGCAGAGTATACATGTGATCATCAAAGAGTTCTTATCACGTAAAGCAACTGGCACAGAACATGCTTGCTCAACATAGCAGCAGAAGCACATATAACAGCCCCTCCAGCACATACAACAGCTCCACCTATCCAGCACACACCAGCTGGTCTGTTCTTAGCGTTGAATGCTCTCAGGATTTTACCCCAAGTCTTGTGGTCCTTACTGCTTTTTCTTTTAAAAGCCTAATTTTCTGGTACCAGCTGCCTGCAGCTTAACCATGGGTTTTCTTCCAAGAAAGCTGAAAAATGTGGCTCAGAAACCAGCAGGCAAATACAATGCATTATCTTTTTTTTTAATCTCTTGATTTTTAAGCTAAACTCATGAGTTTAGAGGTACTGACTCATCATTTTGGGATGCCTGGGGCTGGCAATATCATATACTATTTCATGGGATATTTTACATTTCAGATACAGGAGGCTGAATCACCAGGCTAAGCTCAGTAGCATAGAGAAAGAGAAATCAAAATATAAGTACCCCTTTGTCTAAGCCGGGGAGGTCAAGGGGTCTCAGAGTGACACACAGGCAGCATGTGGTGGAGACAGTGCAAAAAGTTCACAAAAAGTTTTTAACTGTGTCAGTCATCTAGCAAAGCTCCCACCACATACTGCCTGTGTGTCACTCTGGGACTCACCAGATGACCCCTTGCACTGCACAGAGCTCCTGCTCCAGCTTGTGTCCCAGTGGCAGAGCAGCCACCATGTGCAACAGCCCCAGAACAGCCACATACTACTCTGGAGCTATACTGCACGCAGCAGTGGCTCTGGGGCTGTGAAGTACAGCGTTGCAGTGGCCCCAGGACAGTGCAGCACAGACCAGCAATGGTAGCTTCAGAGTCATGCAGCAGAGCCCTGCAGTGCAGCACAGCCCTGCTATACACTGCAGCCTCAGGGCAGCAGCAACTCCGGCCAGGCCATGCTGCAAGGCGGAGCTGGTCTGTGGGATCAGTCCAACCTGTGGACCAGTCCCATGCCACTCATCAGGTCCACAGGGATGGATGAGTTTGACACCCCTGGTCTAAGCAGAGGTCCATTACAATGAAAGCCAGGTAACTGAAGATTAAGAAGTCATCTCTACAAACTGCTGTTTGTAGTTCGGTATAGTTCATCGTCTACTTGTGCTCAAAGCTTCACACCCTACACTAGAAATGGGTGAGTATCCTCTTTTTTCTCTGTCCCATTTTGCAAAGTAACATTATACAAAGTCACTCATGGCAAAACTAAATTTTTAACAGTACAACCAAGACTCAGCCCTGCTACCTTTCACAGTGTATATACCAGGTCTATGTGCAAAGCAAGTCTGATTTCACTTACTCTATCACATTTCCCTACCATAGCCAGGAATAGAAGCTTAGAATCATGACTACCACCAGCCTGCTGCTGCCTAGTAAAATGCTGTATAATTCACAGACATAGCATGTATCATGGCTGCTCAAGAGAGTCTAGCAGGCATCTGCTGTTGCTGTTTTAGCTCAAGTGGAAGTAAGCAAGGCTGGCAATCCATCACTCCCAGCTTCAAGCCCTGTTTGCATGTTGCCCCATGAAGAAAGTGGAGTTCATGTGACTAACTGCACATGATAGAGTTTGTTTATCCAATTTTCTTTAAAACCTGAATTGTTTGATTCATATAAGAGAAAAAAAATCCTTAGAAATAGGCTTTGGAGTTAGAAACCATTCTAATCCTCCAGCTCTGATGCAGTTTGCAAAATCTGGGATACCATGCAGTGACCAGTTCTCAGGTTTCACTTGGGCATGCCATGCTGGCAAGGCTGAAGGCTACACAAAGTCTCCACATGAACTAGGCCGGGGTGGACAATTATTTTGGCTAGAGGGCCACTTACTGAGTTTTGGCAAGCCATCGAGGGCCCATGACAGGCAGCCAGGGGCAGATAAATATTATTTTGTAAAATTTTTAGCGGCCCCATGGGTCAGATAGAACGCCCTGCCAGGCTGCATTTTGCCCACCCCTGAGCAGGCAATCAGGCTAGTTTGCTTTGTTAACGCTAGAATCCCCAGCAATCCTGAAGCAACAAAGGACGAGCAGAGCACATTGTTTCATGGGTGCTAAATAAACTTTCTCCCCAGCATGTCTAATGCCTGGGTCTGGGCCAAAGCTACCCTCTACCACATACCCTCCCATCTCTGAGTCACAAGCTTCATTGGGAGTACAGCCTTAAGGTAGGAGGTTATGACGATGCAGCAAGTTTCTCTAGAGATGATGCTCAACAGGGTGAGATTCTGAAAACCTGTGAACACCATCTGCACCAGTAGCTCCCTCTGGTCAAACCCCAGCAGTGGACTGTAGAAGGTACCTGGCTAAATGAGTGGAAATGCAGAAGACAGGTTAAACAAATATAACCTTAGTCTACAGGATGGACAAAGGAATCCAACCAGTCTGCATGACAGACCATAAGAACTGTCCCTTTCTGCTTGTAATGCCATAAGAGCTGGGAGTTTAGGCTAACTGCATAGTTTTTAGCATTGATGCATTCTTTGTGATCCTACTCGAAGTATAGGGTTACCATATTTCCAGTTCCAAAAAAGAGGACACCGGGGGAGGGGGGGCATTTCTAACTGTTACAGTAAATAACAAGTATTATTGCCTCAGAAATTAAATGCAAAACAAAAATAAAGCCACAGCCCCCTGGCCCCTCACTCCCAAGCCAAAAATACTGCCCCCCTGCCCTTCACTCCCAACTGGCAGCCCCCCATCCCTGCTGCTGCCCCTCATTCCGGACTCGCAGAATCCTGGCCCTGCCAGTGCCCCTCACTCCCAACCCACAGTACCCCCCGTCCCTCCTGGTGTCCTGCACTCCTGACCCACAGCCCCCCGTCCCCCTCATGCTCCTCACTCTCAAGCCACAGCCCAGCTGGTGCCCCTCACTCCCAACCCTCAGCTCCCTGCTCCCCCCAGCCCTGCTGGAGAGGGCCCCCAGCTGTCCCCGTCCCAACCTTGCTGGAGTGCAGAGTCTGCGGCAGGTGTGGCTCATGCAGGCAATGGCAAAGTGAATCCAGGCCCTGCTTGGGCTGGAGGGAGGAGGAGGCAAACCTGTGGCACCCCTTACCCTGGGATGGGGCTCTTGAGCTCTGCCAGGTGGTCTAGCCATGGCCTCACCCCTCCTACCCCCCACTCCAGCAGCATTTCCTAGGTACTCTGCCCCTGCAAATAAGGGCACCAGCCCCAGCGCCAAAGTGGGAAGACTGGTCAGCGGGAGCAGCAGCAGGGAATTTTTAAAATCACTCAAGCAGGTAAAAATCTTCCTTTCCCCCCCCCTTCCTCTCCATACACAGTTCCGTTCCCCTCCCCTCCCACCCCTACTGCAACTGTCTACAGCTTCCTGGGGGTGCTCCAGAACCACTCCTGTCCCACTGCAGCTAGGCTCCACAAGGAGCCAGGCTCAGCCAGAAACAACTGCAGGCAGGCTCCCTTTGCTGCACCTGTTTCCGGGCTATCACCAGGGAGCACAGGAGCCTGGCCAAGGAGGAAGGATTCAGCTGCTGGTGCTGTCCCTGGCTGAGCCCAGCTCTGGGTGGAGCCTGGCTGGAGTGGTCAGGAGCAGCTCTGAAGCTTCTCCCCGCTCCTGTCCCAGAAGCAGCAGGAAATAGCAGTAGCAGGGAGAAGGGAAGGGGAGGTGCTGCTGAGCATGGAAGAGAAGGGAGGGGGAATTATTACTTGCTTGGAGACTTAAAAATTAAATCCCCTCCCCAGCTGCTGCTCCTGCAGTGTAGTTGCCTGATGGGGGTGGGGAGGTATCAGCAACACTGCACTCCTGGATCTGCCCCAGCTTGACAGAAAAGTCAAAGAGCCATCCAAATCCAACAGTCCTTTTTTTCTTATATCTAATAGTTAAATGGAGTCACGTGGCTAGCATCACAGCCAGCCACCTTTGACTCCCCAACCTAAATGAGCAAGTACACATTTACAGCTGGACGACTGGCAGTAGCCTTTGTCATAAATCCAGAAAAGAACTTAAACCCACACTCCCAGAGCCACAGCAAGCTATGGTAGCCACTCTGCTACTGCACCCAGGGATTAATAGAGCTCAGACCTTAATTATTTAAAAAATATCCAGATAAGAGTTTGTATCAGATTAACAAAACTGAATTGTAAAACCTATTTATGCTAGCATCATTTAAATCTGAAAACAAGTGTGTTCTGCACAGGGATCACGTTACTCCTAACTTATTTCTGAATGTACTGGAAATGCTGCAGCACCTCCATTTACACTAAAACATGAGATTTTCATTTAAATATGAAATGAACAATAAACTCAGTGCATCAATCCTCTATTAGCTTGACAGCGATTTCAATCTATTTTATGTTCTCTGCATATTTTCAGGTTCCTGTGCAACAAAGATTCTTCTTGTGACACCTCAGAAATTGAGAGGGGTAAAACCAAAAGTTTTGGAAGCCGCATGAGACATTTTGGGGGTTTTGGCACGTGGCAGGCTATTTGGAGAAGTAGCGTAAGCCAATTAACTATTTCTGACACAATTATCAGCAGTGAAATTATAGGGTGAGCTAATTACAACCTTCCAACTACAAAATACTCTTGTGCCCTTTATTTTAAAACCTTGAATTGCTTGCGGTGGGGTTTTGAATTGTAGCAAGGGGGAAAGTTCTAATACTAGACAAATGCCCTGTTTTTATCTAATTCAA